AATGGTTCTGCATTATTTATGAAGCCAAGTCCTCAAATATTTATCAATTTTCTTCATATGGGCATGGAACACACAAGCACTCATAGTCCTATCAACTTTCCAAAAGCATTCATGTTAACTCTCCTAAATTGATTTGTGGTTAATTGTGATGATTAAAATATAATTAGACAACCATTTGTAATTGTGTTTTTGAATTGAAAATATAATTTAAGTTTACATATTTGTGTTTGGTCAAGATTGGATTTCTCAGTTAGAAATAGTGCAGAATAACACAACAGCCTGAGACTCTCTGCCTGAAAAGATCAGACAGGCAGAAACACTGAACACATTTGAAAGTACCTGAATCTGCACTTGGAAATGCTGTAACCTACAAGGCCACAGACATAAACAGAACAGTAGGATTTCACCGGATAGCTATTTCTCAATTAGGTCAGACAATGGGCCAAATAGCCGCCTCCTGCAGTGTAAGTTTGTATGATTCTGTAAAGTTAGGAACTATAGAATTAGAACAGTCGTTCAGCCCATCAACAGCTTGCAATTGTACTGTGCTCTTAATGTGGTAAAATGTCCCAAGGTGCTCCACACAAGTGTTAGCAAACGAAGTTTTAATACTGAACTACAAAAAAAAAACTGTTCAGAGCTGTGGCCAAAGCTTGATCAACAAGGACAGTTTTGAGGAACATTATAACGGAGATTGAGAGGCAGACATGTTAAGTGGGGATAGAGATCCAGCATGATTTGTAATGTGCAGGGCAGGTTTGACAAACTTTGACTATTTTTTTGAAGAGTAAAGAAGAAGACAAGGGAATATCTATGGGTGATATTTATATAGACTTGGAGAGAGAATTTGATGAGGTCTCTTATTGAGAATGCTAGCTAAAGTTGAAGTTGAAGAATCACCAATGAATTATTGAGCTAGTAAAGAATCTGGCTGAGCAGAACACAGTACGAATAATGAGCAGGTCCTCAAATCAGCAAAAAATTACTGAAGGTGCCCCACTATTTATCAATAACTTGATGATGGAATGGAAAGCCATATCCAAAGCAGAGGCATGTGCAAAAATGGGGAAACTGGATTCTAATGTAGGCAAATCTGAGATCATCCACTTTGGACCTAAAAGATTTTTCTGAATGATGATGCTAGAAATATGTCACATTAGGATTTGTCTACTGTATTTTGATTCCAAGCCAGATTTACTCAGTTCCTCACCTCACTGATTTATGCAAGCTGACATAACCAATCAAGGATGAACTCCGACCTGCTCTTGTAGCACCTTTCACAGCCAGAGTGGCAGATGGAGTTTAATTTAGATAAATGTGAAGCGTTGTATTTTGGAAAGGCAAATCAGAACAGGGCTTATACACTTAGTTGTAGGGCCCTGGGGAATGTTGCCAAACAGAGAGACCTTGGGCTGCAGGTTCATTTCTCCTTGAAGGTGGGGTCACAGGTAGACAGGGTAGTGAAGACGGTGTTTAGTAGTCTTGCCTTTATTGATCCAATGACCATAGGAGTTGGGATGTCATGTTGCAGCTGTACAGGTCACTGGTTAGGCCTCCTTTGGAATATTACATTCAATTCTGGTCCCCCCAATATAGGAAGGATGTTGTGAAACTTGAAAGGGTGCAAAAAAGAATTATAAGGATGTGGCCAGGGTTGGAGGTTTTGAGCTAAAGGGAGAGGCTGAATAGTCTGGGACTATTTTCCTTGGAGTGTTAAGAGGGGGACTGACTTTAAAGAAGTTTATAAAATGATGAGGGGCATGAATAGGGTGAATAGCCAAGGTCTTATTCCCGGGGGAGGGGAGTCCAAAACTCGAGGTTTAAGGTGAGAGGGGAAAGATTTAAAAGGGGCAACTTTTTCCACTCAGAGGGTGATGCATGTATGGAATGAGCTGCCAAAGGAAGTGGAGGCTGGTACAATTACAACAGTTAAAAGACATTTGGATGGATATATGAATAGGAAGGGTTTAGAGGGATACGGACCAAATGTTGGCAAATGGGACTAGATTAATTTAGGCTATCTGGTCAGCATGGACAAGTTGGACTGTTTCCATGCTGTACAACTCTATGATTCTAAGGTATTCTAAAGTGTTTTACAGACAGACAGACAGACAAACAATATGTTAACAGCAAGCTCTTGCAAGCAGCAAGGTGACAAATACAAGAATAACACAGTGTGGAGCTGGAGGAACACAGGCAGCATCAGAGGAGCAGAAAAGTTGACATTTCAGTTTGGGACTTCTTCAGAAATGGGGAGGGGGAAGGGATCTCAGAGATAGAAAGAGGAGGGGTGGGGCTGGGGAAGTAGGTGAGATGGTGATAGGAGAGTGCAGGTAGGGAGCGGTGGGCATTGGTCAATGGGATAGGAGGGATGGATAGATGAGAGAGATGGACAGGTTGTGTCAGGTCAGGGAGGTGGGAATGAGAGGGAGGTTTGGACATGGGATAAGGCCGGGGATGGGGAGATTTTAAAACTGGTGAATTCATGTTTAGGCCATCAGGCTGTAGGCTCCTGAGGCGGAATATGAGGTGCTGCTCCAGTTTGCGGGTGGCATCATTGTGACACTGGAGGAAGCCCAGGATGGACATGTCACCCAGGGAGTGGGAGGGGGAGTTAAAATGATTGGCGAATAGAAGGTGGTGTTGTTTGTCGTGTACAGAGCACAGGTGCTCTACAAAACAGTCTCTGAGTGTACGCTTAGTCTCAGCGATGTAGAGGAGGCCACATGGGAGCAGTGGATACAATAGACCAAGTTGATGAACATACAGGTGAACCCCTGTCTGATGTGAAAGGTTTGTTTTGTGCTTTGGATAGAGGTAAGGGGAGAGGTGTAGTGGCACGTGTAGCACTTCCTGCGGTTGCAGGGAAAGATGCCAGGGGTGGTGGGGCTTGTGGGGAGTGTGGAGCAGACGAGGGAGTTGCAGAGAGCAGTCCCTACAAAAGGCAGATAGGGGTGGGGAGGGAAGTATATACTTGGTTGTGGGGTCAGATTCCAGGTTTTGGAAGTGGCGGAGAATGATATATTGAATCCAGCTGTTAGTGGGAGGATACGTGAGGAAAAGGGGAATTATGTCTTTGTTTTTGTTGCGGGGAGGGAACGTGAGGGAAATGCAAGAGATGCAGTTGAGGGCATTTTTGATCACCGGTGGTTTGGGGGGGGGGGGGTGGGGGGGGAGCGCGTGGGGATAGAGAAGTTACGGTCCTTGAAATAAGAGAACATCTGGGATGTTCGGGAGTGGAATGCCCTATCTTGGGAGCAGATGTGGCGGAAGCGGAGGAATTAGGAGCAGGGGATCGCATTCTTGCGGGAAGGTGGGTGAGAGGAGGTTTAATCTAGGTAGCTATGGGAGTTGTTGGGCTTGAAATAGATGTCAGTTTCAAGGCAATCCCAAAGATGGAGACACGAGAGGTCCTGGAAGGAGAGGGAGGTGTCGGAGATGGTTCAGGTGAATTTGAGGTTGGGGGTGAAAGGTGTTAGTAAAGTTGATGAACTGTTCAAGGTCTTCATGGGAGCACAAGGCAGCGCTGATACAGTCATCAATGTAGCAGAGGAAGAGGTGGGGGAGTAGTGCCAGTGTAACAGCAGAAAAGGGGCTGCTCCATGAATCCTACAAAGAGGTATGCATAGCTTGGGTCCATGCGAGTACAAGGAAATGCTCTTTAGTGAAGTTGGCAGAGGGATAAATATTGGTAAGGAGTTGGAGAGGACTCCCGTGATTGTCTTCGAAATAATATCAGGCAGCCAGGACTTCAGTTTGACATCTCCATTCAGCAGCTCCTCCGAACGTCAAATCTCAGACTTTGTGCTGAAGTCTCATGAGTCTTGTTTGAATTCAGCCCAAAAGGTCATTGCTGTACCACAGCCTCTCTCACTCAGCCACACCTTGGACAACAGGCCACCCTGTTCTAATGCACAGTACTATCCATCTCTCTACTCCTGGAAAACTAAGAAATTTAGACAGCCCTCGTGGAGCACTTAAATTCAGGTCAATGGAAACTAAACAGAATGTCATTTCCAGGGGTGACAATGCATACAAGCCCTTGTGGTTCCATCTCTCACAGGAGGCCTCTACTAAGCTGGTGGACTTCTCATGCTCCCTGTCCAGAGCCAACCAAGCACAGATACAACCATGGAAGAGAGGAGATACTCATGCTATGCCCCCTTCACTGCTCACTGCCCAGACCTGTTGATATTCACAACCTTCTGGACTTCGTTAATATTAGAGTTCAACCACCTTCAGGTTGTGGACTCACTACCTTTTTTTTTAAGCTTTATTTGTTGTATTCTGTGTTACCACGTTCTCTCTCCCATCCCCCACCCAGTGCAACTGTCTGTTCTTTCCAGTCTGGCAGTTAGACACATGTTTGTTCTGCCATTCTCACATTCTGATCACCTAATGTGCACTATTGGCAGCCTCTCTTCCCCCAGCACTCCACCCCCACCACACTTCACATCAGCTCTGACAGAGTCATCTAGACTCGAAACATTAACTTGGTCTCTCTCCACGAAGATAGCAAGAACTACAGATGCTGGAGGTAGAGTTAATACAGTGTGGAGCTGGAGGAACACAACAGGTCAGGCAGCATCAGAGGAGCAGGAAAGTCGATGTTGGACTCACTCTCATTTGATTGAGAGTGAGTTCACAATCTGAAGGTGTTGAACTCTAATATTAAAGTCCAGAAGGTTGTAAAGTGCCTAATCTGAAGGGTCAATCACTTACTCTGCACTATTAGCATATCCTGATGAACGGTGTGAGCCTGAAAGGTCAACTTTCCTGCTCCTCTCATGCTGCCTGACCTACTGTGTTCCTCCAGCTCCATGCTGTATTGACTCCCTCTCTACGGATGCTGCCTGACCCATTGTGATATCCTTCACTAGAGAACTCTGTTGGTGGAAGGTAGAATGTTACATCAGGAGATAGCGAGGGAAGGACGTGGAGAGAGAGTGTGCTGCAACAGCAACAGCCATAAATCTATCCTTTATAAAAATCAAAAAAAGTTAACATTCAGCAGTAAATCAAACATTTTACTGAAATAATGTTTAGTGACAAAACCAAGCTGGTACAATCACGATTCTACAAAAGGTTCGGAAGAGACTTCAGTTTTGTTTTGTTTAAATTGTTCTGCTATGCTTTTCTTTGCAGGTTGCTTGATTTCAGACTCCAAGCCAGGCAGTACCACCTTCCGCCGAGCTGCCATCTCAATTTTTTGGACCAGTTCAACCTCCCAGGGATGTGTCACAAAACTAATGACAGTGCCCAAAACCTTGCTGCCAACACGACCCACTCGCCCAGCACGGTGTATATAATCACACAGAGTCAGGGGAAAGTCGTAATTGATCACAAATGCCACCCTTTGAGTGTCCAATCCCCGAGATGCAATGTCAGTGCACAGAAGTATGTCTACCAGACCCTGCTGGAAGGTACTGAAAATCCCACTTCGCTTTCCAGCTTGCATACTCCCTTGGAGACGCGAGTGTTTGATCCCGTGGTCGTCCAGGACATAGCCAAGCCAATTAACTGTTGAGGCATTGTTACAAAACACCAGAACTCCAGCTTTCTGGACCACCAACTCCTTTAACATTTGCAGCAAGTCACTGGCTTTATCCGTCCGCTTGACTTTAAGGAACTTCTGTTTGACATGGGGCATGATGCGGTGCAGCTCTTTGCTCTTTATGGTAGTGATGCTGCCCAGGTCAGTGACATTGCTGAGCAGTTCCCCCACTCCGCTTGGGAAAGTGGCTCCTGTCACCACCAGCTGGGCTTTCCTCCCCGGCCCTCGGCTCTCAGAGGGGTGCCCTGCGATCTGGCAGTGCTGGAGAATAGCTTCCAGCAGGTCCACGAAGCTTTCATCGAATAGAGTGTCCGCTTCATCCAGCACCAGGTGGCTCAGGCCGCCCAGGGTGACCAAGTCTCTCCTCAGCGCTTTCCAGAGCGCCCCGGGCGTGGACACCAGCAGGTCGATGGGCCCTCGGGATAGACTCAGTTTCAACTTGCCCATACCCCGGCCGCCGCCCACCGCCCGCACGTTCAACTTCAAGTCGGCGGCCAGCGTGCGGGCCACTCGCTGGAGCTGCTCGGCCAGTTCCCGGGAGGGGACCAGTACCAGACTGCGCAGCCCGTTACTCTCGGCTGCTTCTCCCATCGCCCTTTCCTGGGTCAGGCTCTGCAGGATAGGCAGCAGGTAGCTTAAGGTCTTGCCGCTGCCGGTCTCGGCCGCGCACAGCACATTGCTCCCCCTCTGCAGAGCGGTCATGGTCCGAACTTGCAGTCCGTTAGGTTGAGAAATGCCCATCCCATCCAGTGCGGCCCCCAGCTCCCTGCACAGCCCGAGCGAGCTGAAACTTCGCGGCTTCTCCCGCTGCTCCTCCTCCCGCTGCTCCTCTCGCGGACTGGCGGGTGGTTGGCTCCGGGTGTTGTTAATAACGAAATAATCTCCTGCCGCCTTCCTGTGCTTCCAACCCTTGGAAACCAGGGGAAGTGGGTCGAACTTGCCGAACGTGTACGCGGCGTGCTGGTTCAGCTCGGGCCGCTTGCCCATGATGAGTAGCCGCCCCGGTCTGGCCAGCCTCAGCACCAGCACCTTGCTGCCCGCCGCCCGTTTCAGCCTCTGGTCCGCCCGCAGCCGCGTCTTCTGGGGGATGCGGATGACAGGTAGTTCGCCGCTCGGAGCCGACACCCGGGAGCCGACACCGGCCGAGAAGCCTGAGGCCAGACTCCTGCCGAGCAGCGTCCCGCATCGGGTCGCCGGAGTTGCGGGGCCCCGGGGCTGAAGAAGGAACCTCGAGCCCAATGTCAGCATGGTCCCGGGGTGGGAACAGGAAGACCCCTCCCTACACTCCGGCTCTGGAACACTCGGCCCCTCAGGATTCTAAAATGGAACGGGGAAGCCCCCTGGCCGCGCGCCGGCTCTGGAACACTTGGCCCCTCAGGATTCTAAAATGGAACAGGGAAGCCCCCTGCCCGCGCGCCGGCTCTGGAACACTCGGCCCCTCAGGATTCCAAAATGGAACGGGGAAGCCCCCTGCCCGCGCGCCGGCTCTGGAACACTCGGCCCCTCAGGATTCCAAAATGGAACGGAGCGGCGCCTAGAAATGACGCGACGGTTCGGGCGGCGGAAGTGATCTCTCTCAAGTTCCCCCATGTGTTTCTGGTGTGCGGCAGTTACACCCTTCCCAGGGCAGTTCTTTGCGATCTGCGTCAATTTGTATCCAAGGTAAGAGCTACCTTACTATATATAGATCTATTTATTCCGCTAGACTGTTGGCGTGAAGGTGATACTGTATATGGTGGCCCGTCTGGATCTAGACAGAGGCTCAACCGCCTCATCAACGGAGACTCCTGAGTCTTGAGTATCCTGGGACCCCCATGAATGGACTTCCTTGAAGTTCGTGGAGACTCACTATTTTGAAATCATCCGGTCTTTATTTTCTATTCAGTAATCTATTAAGTAAGCAGTATGAAGATGGGACATTTTAAAAAAAACATAGAAAAGCCTGTCATTGTAACTGATTTTCAGTGATTTTTCGGCCAACCAAAAAGAAGTTGCTCCGATTACTTTGGAAAGCAGGTCCTGAGTGACCCATGTTTTGTTTTCTGGCTTACACCCATGTCATTTAATCATTCTGCTGCTCCATCTACCACAGTCGTTGCCTATTTTTGTCTCCTTGCTCCTATCCTTGGCTCTGTACTTGTTAATTTTCATTTACAAAGCAAATTACAGTGGATGCTGGAAATCTGACCTATTTCCCAAATTTTCTGGGTCTATATCTGATTTCCAGTATAAACAATATTTTGTTTTCTTGTGTCTGTTAACGTGGAGGACATTGAACAGAAGCTGTGCAAAAGTTTTCTATCATTTTATATTTGGGACGCTAGTGTTTATCCCTTTGGATTGTTGAGAATAGAACAGTACAGCATAGGAACAGGCCCTTCAGCTCACCATGTCTGCGCTGAGCATGATGTCATTCTAAATTAATCCCACCTGCCCACGTATGGTCCATATCTCTCTATTCCCTGCCTGTTCATGTGTCTGTCTGAATACCTGTTAAACTTTGTTGCCGGTCTGCTTCTACTATTTTCCTGGCAGAGTAATTCAGGTACCCGACACCCTCTGTGGAAACAAAAAATTAACTTGCACATCTCCTTTTAAACTTTTCCACACTCACTTTAAACCTATGCCCCCAGTATTTGATATTTCACCTGGTGGTGGGGGGGACAAAACTGATATGATCCACCTTATTCATGCCTCTCATAATTTTATATACTTCTGTCAGGTCACGCCTCAGCCTTTGTTCTAGTGAAAACAATCCAAGTTTTTTCCAATCTCTCTAATACACTTCTTTTGACTCTCTCCAAAGCCTCCGCATCGTTCCTATGGAGTGGAGATGAGAACTGCACACAATACTCCAAAATGTGGCCTAACTAAAGTTTTATTCATCTGAAGTAGTGGAATTTGTGCAGCAGCTATATTAAACTCTGTAAAGGGCTCATAGGGTTTGTTAGCTCAGTGGGCTGGATGGCTATTTTGCAATGCAGAGGGATGCCAAAAGCATGGATTCAATTCCCACGCTGGTTGAGGTTACCATGAAAGATTCCTCTCCCCTCGCCTGAGGGATGGTGACCCTTGGGTTAAACCAGCACCGGTCATCTCTCCGTAATGGGAGAGCAGCCTGTTAAGACTATGGTCACTTTACCTTTAAAAGCTTCTTTTCTTTTTCAAATCTTGAATTGAAATGAGTAGGTTCTTTCCATGTTGGTAGTCTCACTAATTTAATATAATCCTTCAGTTCAGCATGTACTAAGCTCATCTCTGCATAATTATAGCAGGCATGAGCAAATCAGTACTATATATTGTAACTCATTGGTTAACACGGTCAAACCTCAGAACAACTTTTACTGTGCTGTAAAGTACTGTGAATGCTGGAAATCCACAATAAAGACAGAAAGCTGCAAACACTGGGGCAGCATAGAAGGACATTATTAGCACTTCAGGGCTAATAGTTTTTACATCAGAAAGATCGCAGTATCTGAAGGTTGTCACGGACTAATGTAACCAGTTGTGTGCAAAGTGTCATTCAGAAATTGGCATTTAATTTAGCATGTATGTAGCTCAAATCAAAGTATCTGTTAGTGTTACTAATAATCTCTAGGTGCAAATACATTAACTAAAACATAGAAACGTAGAAAATAGGAGCAGGAGTAGGCCTTTTGGTGCTTTGAGCATGCTGCAACATTCAATAGGATCATGGTTGATCATCCAATTCAGCACTCATTACCCTACGATTTCTTTAGTCCTATCCCTGCTATAGGGAAGGATGTTGTGAAACTTGAAAGAGTTCAGGAAAGATTTACAAGGATGTTGCCAGAGTTAGAGGGTTGATAGGAAGAGGCTGAATAGGCTGGAGCTATGTTCCCTGGCACGTTGGAGGCTGTAGGATGACCTTAGAGGTATATAAAGTGGATAGGGTGAATACCAAGGTCTTTTTCCCAGGGTGGGGGAGTCCAAAACAAGAGGGCATAGGTTTAAGGTGAGAGGGGAAAGATTTAAAAGGGGCTTAAGGCGCAGCTTCTTCACACAGAGGATGGTATGAGTAAGGAGCGAGCTGCCAGAGAAGTGGTGGAGGTTGCTACAATTACAACATTTAAAAGCCGTCTGGATGGGTATATGAATAGGAAGGGTTTAGAGAGAGTTGGGCGAAATGCTGGCAAATGGGACTAGATTAATTTAGGATATCTGGTTTGCATGGACGGGTTGGATCAAAGGGGGATACTGCTGGTGTTGGAAATCTGAAACAAGCATAGAGAATGGTGGAGAAACTCAGCAGGGTCTGGCAGCACCTGTAGAGACAGAAACAGAGTTAATGTTAAGAGACTATAGATCAGTTACAGCTGTATGACTCAATAATTTTAGGTCAGACGTCAGACGAAATCAGGTTGTAGTTCAACAGGTTTATTTGAAATCACAAGCTTTCAGAGTGCTGCTCCAGAGCGTTTCAAAAGTTTGTGATTTCAAATAAACCTGTTGGACTACAACCTGGTGTCATCTGATTTCAGTCCTTGTCCATCTCTGTTCAACACTGGCACCCCCATATCAATAATTTTAGAACCTTTTTTGAATTGTTCTTAATGCATTTACATCCTTAAATAAGAAATCTAATACTGTCCATAGTGCTAACAAGGTGTAGAGCTGGATGAACACCGCAGGCCAAGCAGCATCAGAGGAGCAGGAAGGCTGACATTTCGGGCCTAGACCCTTCTTCAGAATTC